AAATTCCTTAGTCATTTTTGGGTTACACTGTGGCGGCGGATGGATACTACTCTGAAATTCAGTAGCATAGCACACCCACAGACTGATGGACAAACTGAAAATCTGAACAGGACGCTGGGGAATTTAATACGCAGCATTTGTGGTGATAAACCAAAACAGTAGGATGTGGCACTGGCGCAAGCCGAGTTCACGTATAATAATGCGGTTCACACTGCTACGGGTAGACCCCCTTTCTCTTTGGTATATTTGAAGCCTCCTAAACATGCATTGGACTTAGCTCGCCTTCCCAAGGTTACTGGTTCCAATGTGGCTGTTGAAAAATATGGCTGAACAGGCTCGTAATGTTCAAGCAGAAGTGGAGGCTAGGTTGGAGGGGAAGAATGCAAAATATAAGGCTGCTGCGGATGTCAAGCGGCGTGAGAAATTGTTTACTAAAGGTGATCAGGTGATGGTGTTTCTACGCAAGGAGCGGATTCCTCTTGGTTCCTATAACAAGTTGAAGCCGAGAAAATATGGTCCATACAAGGTAGTCAAAAAGATCAATGACAATGCCTACGTGGTCGATTTGCCTGTTGATATGAACATCTCTCGCACCTTCAATGTGGCTGATCTGTATGAGTTTTGTGCTGATATTCCAATCTCGAGTTCTTTACAGTTGGGGGAGACTGATGTAGGACAACTAGATTTGGAGTTTGAAAAAGTGTTGGACAGGAAATTGACGAAGAAAGATCGCGCCATGGGCAATTTGGTCATTTGGCGCTACGGTGTCGGAATGGGCTGAAATTTGGCAGGTTGATAGGAAACGGCCTGAAAAATTGGACTCGTGGTAAAATCTCGAGATCTTAGGATTTTAGCCAAATTCCTTCGTGTAGGCTTTCAAATAATTAATTTCTATATTTCCAGTTTTAGATTTCCGCTATTTTTGGAATGTTTTAATATTCTATATTTTTAGGGTTTCTCATAATGCCTATTTAAAGACTTTCGAACGTTTTTCGGGTCATTATAAAATTTCGTTTCTTTGGTGGATTCCAAATTTGGTTCTTCAGATTTACGTTCGTAAATCTTCGTCTTCCGTTCTGCGTCAAGTGGGGGTAGTCTTATTTCATATCTAGAGAAAACAATTTTGAGATTATATGGTTCTAATTTAGGAACTTGTTCTTCAGAAAGAACAAGGTGTCGAAGTATATAGAACTAGTCTCATCCTTTAGCACGATCTTCAATTTTACAGATCATATCGAAAATAAGTTACTTTGTCCTTGGAAATAACATTGATAGTTTTGCTGCAAGAGAACTCTTCTTGGATTTGAAAAACTTGTTCAAAAACGATTCTTCACCAAGCTTGGAGTTGCTAGAGTCAAAGAGATGTAATATTTGCTCCTTTAGATCTTCATCAATTTGTAGTTCATTAATCCTTCCTTTTATAGGATATCTATTTGAGTAATGACCCGTTTGTTTGCATTTCCAAGCAAACAATGTCTTTGAGATCCTTTTTAAATTTTGTTTTTCTTTTGAAGTTATTTTTCACGTAGTTTTGAAATTTTCTCAGAGATGACTTTTTATAATAATTTTGAGTTATGGTCATCAAAATATTCCCTCCTGTAAAACTTCTTTCGAAGCTTATTCTGTTTGGAAGAAGGAGGTTGTATCTTTTCATAATCATATTGAGCACAGAACGACCCAAGCTCTTTGTGACCTTCCTGAAATTCACTCTTCATTATAGCTTTTTAGCTTGAGATCAGTACCTTGGAAATTTTTTATTATAGCATGAAATAGTTCACCATAAATGTTTTGATCTCTAGAGTAAATAGAAAAGAGAGTAGAAAAGGCCTTAAAATAAGATGATAGCAGTAAAAAATGACATCATCTTACCAACCATTCTAACCTGAGTAGGAAGAGAATGAAATTCTTGACATCATTAAATTTTTGTCTGGACCAACGATTACAAAATCTGCATTGCACAAAACTACCCTTTATTCAGAGAAGAATTCTACTTGAATTTTAAAGCTTCAGAAAATGACACCGTAGAGATAGAGATAGAGATAAAGCTAGATAGTTTCTCTTTCTTTTTTCAGCATTTGTGTCTTAAGAGTACTGAATTTTGGAAAAAGGACATGAGCCTTGTGCTTTTTGCAACTAGAAGGCTTGATTTATTTATTTAAGAAACACAAAAGGAGAAGTGGAAGAAAAATACCGAGAGAGACTGTAATCATTATTGGAAATAATGTCATATCAGAAGCTGGGGAGTAGCTCTTGTGGTGACACTTTGAGGGTTCTTGAGGCTGATATTCACCTGGCAAATGCAATGTAAGCTTAATTTCAGCTTATTTTCATTTGGGTAATTTCTGTTTTTTCCCCTTTTCTTGAAATGCATGTAAATTCATTATTTAACAAATCTTACTTTTAAGGATTTATATGTATAGATATGATCATCATTTCGAATTAGTTGCCAAAATTTTGTTTTTCTTTTAAGTGGTGAGTTAATTTTGGGGTGGTTTTTTGCTTTGTTTTGATGGCAATTTATTAATTTACTGTGTTTTTTATTGATTGAACAGAAACCTTTGAAGATGCAATTGTTTCAATATTGATTACTAGAATTACTTTTATATCTACCGAGTTGCCTGGAAATTGAAGGTTAATCCAGGAATTCTAATTTTATTAGCTAGAAAGACTGTGCGTAATGTGGGAAAAAAAAACTTTTATGTGGTTTTCTAGAATGCTACCAAATGTTCGCAAGGATGCACTCTGCTTAATTTTTGGAAAGGATTTAAGAGGGGGATTGATATTTCATTTTATTATGTTTTACTCGATCAGTTTTCAAGGAAAAAAATAAGTGTATTTTGTTCCATGATATTCTACTGTTTTGATATTCTGTGTTATTGCAGAATGCATCCAAAAAATTGAAAAAACTTGATTTCATTTGTGCTGGAGTGGTGTGCCTGATCCTCAGTTTATTTCCTCACGTTGTTTTAGAAAAAGAACCGAACTTTGTATGATTGTTGCCGTCTTGTGTGGGCTAAACTATCATTTATGGTGATCAGTGTTAAATCTGCTAAACTAAGGTGAATTCTATGCATGGAAATGAATGCCATTGCTTGGCTTCCTGAGTTCCTTTTTGTCAATTTCTGATTTTGTCGTGTTTGTTTCAGTACGATGAAGTCATTGTAAGGAGGTAAATGTCATTTCTATTCTTGGTGAATTCGTTAATTTCCATTTTGTAGGGCCGCCGCAATTCCAAATGCAAAGAATGGTGCACGCGTTCAAATGAAACTGATCTGCAATCACTTGACTACTATTGTTCTGTTTTTCCTCCGATGGATTGATTGCTCCTGCACGTGTCTCTTCCCGAAATATCTGAATCTTTTTGATATACTTATCTACAAGGTCTCTTGTAAATTTTTCGCGTTGTTCCAACATTAACATTGAACTTTTAATTTTGCAAGGATTTGAGATGATCTCTTTCCTTTTTTACAGTTGATGCTTTTTACATCATTTAGTTCACATTCTCTATTTTATTTTAAAGGTTTATATGGACGGAAGGCCGATAAAGACTCTTGGACGGAAAGCTAAAGTTCAAGACTTCTATGGTTTGTCGTTTACCTATTTGTCTACTTTAAGGAAAACCATCAATGAGATTTTTTCACACGGTACTTGATAAAACAAAATTGCAGCCATCATATTGCCAACACTCTTGCAACTCCATCATGACTTTGTGGCGCCCGATAATACGGAAGATGAAAATATGGGTCCTAAAAGTATTGGTAAAAAGAGACTAGGAAGCGGTGGATTGGCCAACTTAGGTACAGAGAGAGATGATGAATGTGGGATATGCTTAGAGCCTTGCACCAAAATGGTCTTGCCCAATTGTTGCCATGCAATGTGCATGAAATGCTTCAATGACTGGTACATAACTAACACCATCTTTTCTTTCTCTTCATGTCTATAAGTCAGTTGCCTCTTCCATTGACTTCTTTGTGCCCATTCGTGTCGAATAAGACAAGATCAAGAAGGACTGCTTCTAGGCAAACCTCTTGGTTGTCCCTGCAACTACTGCCTTAATCATTTAGGACCCCCAGCTTGTGATCTAGGTTGTTCCCTTCTAGACGATAAAGCTTATTCCCCTTCAATTTTCAACCTTTACCCCATTATTTTGAGATCATTTTGAAGATTTTTTTTTTTTTCTTGTTCTGTCTAAACTTATTCTGACTTTCAGGAACAAAAGATCCATGTCCTGTCCCTTCTGCCGTGGTAACTTGACGAGTGTCATGCAGAAGGACTTGTGGGTTCTTACTGGCAAGGATGAAGTGGTTGACCAGGAAACTGTTTCTAGAGAGGAGTTGCTCCATTTCTACCTTTATATCAAAAGCCTGCCTAAATATTCCCCTGTTCCCAAATTTGTGATGTACCATGAGCACTTAATTTGATAGGAAGTTGATTCCTGGAATGGTGTGCATATAGAGAAACCGACCCAAATGTAAAATTTTGTGAGGAATTTTTTTCTCATTACTGATAAATAACCACCACTTTTGTGTATGTGATGTTGCTTAAGAGACCTCTAAATTTGTATACATTTTAAAGTATTTTCAAACTTCTTTCTACTAATTTAGCATGAATGCAGGAGAAAAATCTGTCTTTCCTTGCTGATGAGTTCTATATCCTTTATACCCTCAGATTTAGGCATTTTAGCTACTTGAAAATTCCGAGAGGACAATAAATTGTGGCTGCTTTGTCATTTATTTTATGCCAGCATTTACTAGGAGGAAAATAAATGTCGAAAAATATTCATCTAGCCGACTCCAAATATAGGAGTAAGGCTTTGCTTGTTGTTATTGGAACTTGTAAAATTATGCTGATAAGAAAATACTCTGTATATATGTAATTAGCTATTTAGTTCCTGTCCAATAAGAGAACTGTGGATGAAGCTACAATTAAAGCAACTTGAAATTTCTTATTATAATCTCAATCTCTCAACGAATCCCGTCTGGCTTTTTAAGGGAGTTGGGGCAGTGGTAGATCCTTCTGTACGGTTTTCCTTTTCCTTTTTTACTTTTCTTTTGGTTTGCTTTTATCAGATCATCAATGGAGGTAGAAAGAAGGATTCATCGAGTAAGAGATCATTTTTTCGTTTTCATTACTATCTGGTGATGTCTTATCAACCTTATCAAACATACCATTAGGTATATATAATTTTCCAAGCTTTTCCGACTTCTTTTTGGAGGATTTGGTTGTGGACCGTTAGCGGCTTTATGTTGGCAGTTCCTGCACAGCCTGTACAGTAAAGATTGTGCTTGTGCAATAGACTAAACTGTAGTCCACCAAAGATACCCCGGGAGAGAGACAGCATTGAAGTACATGCCACCGAACACTGGTGGATTTAGCCAATTGAGTTATTTTCCTTCTAAAAAATTATTCAGAACTTTTTTTTTTAAAACATATTAGCGCCCAGCGTAAAAAATTTTTTTAGTCCAGTCCTCATTCTGAGCATGATTAGATCGGATATGGGATTGAGCAATTGCATACTTCGAGGAGCTTCCAAAGATTGATGTGGATGACAGGCTCTTGACTACAAGGATGCTGTACACGAATTTTCTACCACGACGTGCTTCTCAATACCACTCAAGCCCAAGCTTGTTATCAGGATAAGTATTTATCTCTCCGAAGGCACGAGTTTTATTACTAAGTAAATTCGCATAGATAACATCCATGTAGCCCGAAGGAATTTTAACCGAGTACTACAAGATTATTGTTTCATTTTCTTCCCTGAATTGTGGGTGGGGGCATTATATCGAGTTTCTAAAGCTGGTGAGAACCATAGGTGAAGGTGGCTAAGAATTAATTTGTTTTATATACTTATGGCTTTGAGATTGTATGTAAATTATTTCCATCCTTGGGATTTTGTTCCTTTAGTTTTGTTCATAACAATATCTCTCAATAGATGCCATCATTAATTCCTGCTTTGAAGGTTTAGTAAACAATCTTATGACAAATAGACACATAAAAGGACCAAATCAATAATTAAAACACAACCTTGACGCTATATTATGGTAATATATAGTTGGACGTTGGCAAATGCTAAAGAATAAAGGAGTCATCAAAGAGATGAACACACATAACAAAAATATCATCTCTTAAAAAAAGATCGTTGGTAATAGGTTAACTTCGTAGCTCGTTTACCAAATGCCTTCCAGCTAAGGTTTTCAAGGTATATCCATAAGACATGGGATTGCAAGACATGACATATACTCTAGGACAAGTAGAGATTTGCTGCATTATGTGTCATATAGTATAGTTTTACTCTTGTAAAATAATAGTTTTATAATAAATAAGCTATCATTTTATTTATTTAGTGTTGTTACATCTATTAGAAAATAGAAATTGAGAATGCAAATAAAAGTGCCAATTATCATTTGTAATAATATGTCTTCGATGTTTGCATGGTGAAGCACAATGTGACATAAATTATAATTTAATCATGAATAAAATTATTCACAACCAATGAATTAGCTTGGGCTGACATCTTGTACTGAAAAGTTATATTTTTAACTAATTTACTATTAGGGATTGTGATTTGTCCTTACCGTAGAATTAATATAATGATGTCACTAGTACATTTGAAGTGTATTGAATGAACATATATTGAGTTTAATTCTATAGCATGACCATGGCAGAGAATAAAATCCACTTGATCGTCGGGTATTTCATCTGAATTGTTGTACAAGACCTTTTGTAGAACTCGATGAGGGGTTATTTTAGGATGGTGCAAGGGATGGAGAAAAAGCTTTGCAAGGGAAATCAAGATAGGCCATCTTTTATCCATAAAAAAAAAAAGAGGCATTTTAATACAAGTATGAGTGGCAATGCAATGTTGCTCGGTGGTAAATGGGATTAAGAATGTATCTAATATTTCACGAATTGTTCCAATTTTATTTGATGTATAGCTCTTTTGTCATAGGTTTCTTGTAGCACTTCTTTCCTTGTACACAGGGTCGTAGCTAACACTCGGCTAGCCAAGGCATTCACCTGTCCTGGCTCTACCCAAAAAATTGAGTATATATTGGGCGGCCGCTCAACGATCGCTCAAGATTCTCTAGCATTCACCTGGAGCAGGCACAGTTTGAACCCGTGGCAAACTACTCGTCGGATGCTCGAGTCACCTGTATATAATTTTTACGTTTTAGTGCATTTATATATTGATTAAAGATTTTTTAATATTATTTAATTAAATATTATTAAAGAATCTCGCTATTGCAGCCGTCAACGGTCAACGACCGCCCTAACTCACTCGAATTCCTGGATCCACCACTGCTTTACTTCATAAGAAGAACATTGCGATAGTCTCTCTTACTGGTTTATAGGCTTTAGAGAGGAAGAAAATATCCCACAATCTAGCTTCTTTGGCCACAATGTGGTGTGTTGATAACCTCTATTCAATCTCGAGAGCAAGACTAATCAAAATGAAAAAAGTTTATTGGCAACTTCATCCATTACTTAGCCACGATTGGAATATAATTTATAAATCGTTTATAAATTTAATAAAAATTAAATACTAATTACATTCATAAATGTTACGATTATTATCCACAATGTTTCACAAGTTTCAAATTTTTCTTAGGCCCCGTTTGACCTTTACTATTTTCCATGGAATTTGGAAATTATTTTTCAAGTTCCACCTTTTTTCTTGTTTGATAGCTAAATTTTTCTTGGCAAAACATTTTCCCCCCAACCCTCGACATGACCACTTTTTCCAGGTTTTCATTGAATTAGTTTTCCCAACACTTTGGTGGGAAAATTGTTTTCTAGCTTCTTTTTTTTGGCAATGGAAACAAATTTTATTCCTAGTTGTAAATTTTTTTCCTTTAATGGACAATTTTCATGGAAAACAAAGTCAAACGAATACCAAAAAAATCCAAATTTTCAACATTTTTCGGGTGAAAAATTATACCGATCAAACACAATTAATTGACAACTGCAATTATTTTCCCTAAAATTCATTTTCTTTCCACCCATTTTCCATTCTTGCAATCAAACGGACCCTTAATTTTTTTTAATAAACAATTAAAAAATTCGCCAAAGAGTCAAAACACAAAAAGGAGGTTATAAGATACTTTTATATTGGGTCACATACTTCCATCTTAAAAACCCTTATATATTGATTATTATTTTTATACCTAAGCGCTGTGACATATCTTGAAATTCAACTGTGTTAGATTGAATTGTGTTTTTTAACTAAAATTCCATTTTAATGTAAGCCCTTATAAATACTTTACTATTTTTATATTTAAGCGCACAAGAATTTTTAACTTTTAAAAATTTAAAAATTCTTTTCGGTCACAATAGAACCTTCTGCATTGGATGATGTAATATCAAGCTATATAATTGACCATTAAGCCCGTCCATATTTTCTAAAATTCATTTTTTTAAACTCATATTTAACTACACATTCTTTCAATAAAATAATTTTGCGCGTAAATTCTTAACTTTTCTTTATTTTTAACCACGCACTTTGGTGCGTTTTTTATATTGCAAGTGTATGATATTGTAACAAGTAGTATAGTGGACATTTGAGTTCGGATATCGTTCACACGAAGACTATACTTCAGGATTTAATCTAATTTTTCTCAACTCCTATTTGACAAAAGCGAATAAATAATTATGATGATTGTGATTATTTTTCCTAACTACTTTTAACTAATTCAAAATATAAAAAGATTACAAACAATGGATAATTGAAAATTCAAATATGTGATTAATATTAGGGCATAACAATTTTATCTATTGATCACATTTATTCTTAATTCAAGATTCATAACCTAATGTAGTGTTCGATCGAATTCTTCTATTGTATTCAATTTACCTCTCTCGAGTTCTCATTGAACATATTTAACTAATTCAATTCCATATCTCTAAGTGAATCAACTTTAATTAAACGAAACACTGGTTCTAAGTATTCATATTATGATCTCAATAA